AAGCTTTGTACTTCACTAACAAAGAAATCATTATTTTACGAAAATGAAAAACTTATAATTTGAACTTATGTTTTTCAAGAGTCCCTCATCAAAAGTGAATATATAGACACTATAAGTAAGGTTAGGATAATTCTTGCACGAAGGATCCATCTTCGAATGTTTCAATATTGAGTTTTTCTGGGAGTTCAATTTTGAAGTCCAAAATCGCATTCCAAGAACTTTACTCCGAATGACGTTAATATAACTGTAAATTAGGATCCGTGTCTGTAGACAGCAATCTTCTCGCATGTATACTTCGTACAATATAGGTAAAATAATGAAAACACAATCTTATCTACAACCTCACTTAGCCAAAGCCTAGTTGAATCTAACTTCGACTAGATTGTGTTGCAAGTTAGTTTCTGTTTTATCAACAACTATGTACGAAATAAATTAGCAATAAATGAATGTACGTGATGCGCGCGATCAAAACATATCGAGCAGATAGTAAATACCCTTAAGAGAAAATAACTGAATCTGGTTGCCAATAAAAACACGGAATTATTAGTTCTTTATGTGCAACAAAAAACTCAGTAGTGAAACAAAGCCTTCAAAGTCGGAGATGGAAGTACCCCTGAAGAAGCATGTCTAGCACGCCAATAAAATGTCAGGAAGATATTCCTCATTACAACGGTTCTTAAACCCGACAAAAGAAAACAATAAATATACATCAACTGATTTAATTATAAATAAATATACAAAGGCTCTCGAATATTTCCTTGAAGCACTTTCCAAGGTTAACAACAATATTTGAATCAACCAACGTTATACCATCACACTAGTGTCTGTAAAATCTGCGCACGCTCATTCATGATGAAGCTAATCAACAGCTCCTCCAGGTTCTCGTTACTCCTGGAGATCTGCCTGCGTATCGCCTGCCTGATCTCCTCCTTGACTCCCTTGTCTGCTCCTCTGGTGCCTATCCTTCTCTGTCCGAGATGAGGCAAGATGTCCAGGTTAATCTGCCCGCCTTGGCTCGTCCACAAGTAGGTAAGCTCTTCCAGAATGTCAACATTCAAGATGTAGTTTTGGAAGTTGTGGTACTGAAACGTGCGGTGTTGCTGGATCTGCTCCAGAAGTGGGGGCACGAAGTCTTCCTCTTGGGGCCAGTCGAGCTGGACCAACGTGAAAATATGGCCAATGGACAGCTCGCTGTAGCTGTGCTTCGCCATGTTTTCTTTGACGCATCTGGAAAGTTTGTGAAAATATGTTGTAAAGATAGAAAATGCAACTGCTGAAACGTATTTAGATACATTTCAATATTTCTATGGAGATTGGAAAGACACCGAAAATGGTGGTTTACAGCAGTAGCAGTAGTAATTTCCGGATTAGCTAATTTCAAATGAATACATTGAAAGAGGGTATAGTTTGCAAATATTTCCTTGAATAGATACAAGCACTTTAGATTAAATATGGTTAAGGCTATTACTCGAATGGTTATTCTGTTATCAGATCAGTAGTACTAAATTCGGAAGATCAGCGATTAAGAGAAATGAATAGCATCAAATCGAGTTTAAGACGTTGGTAAGATAACTCGTCACAGCAAGAAATAACACGAGGCAAAACCCATTTGAAGAACTTAGGTTACAACAATAAGAAGAAGAAAAAATTGTATGGAATTCGATGAGGCCATTACCACAAGGTGGTGCTGAAAAACTCAAGGAAATGAAGAGAAAGTTGATATTACTCTATCTATATCTTCAGTGAAGGTACTTTTCTCTTTGAACAATCGTAACATCCATCTCTGTCATATAGGCAAGGGCTGTTGTTAACAAGTGCATACAAAAAGCAGACGTTCATGTTTGAGAAGTGGGAAGGTTCACAAACTTAACAAGTTTTCACCACCTTAAAAACCCTGGAAACAAAAAAATTAATTCTGAAAATCACAAAAAACTTCAGAATTTGGAGACATATGAGAACAAACCAAACTTACAAGCATAAACATGAACAGGATAACCAATCCTCGACAGATATCGGAAACAGCAAGATAATAATCGCGTTCAATATGTACTGACAAAACCCAATATGATATGGTTCGTATTGTACAGTGATAAAGGTTTATGTGCAAACAACTGACTGATTGGTTATATGATTTTGGTTATATGAAAGAGAACAGAAGAAAGTCTATATTATTTTCTTCCTCTGAGGTAATGATCATTGTTTCCTTGAGTTTGAGGTTCAAATGTCCAAACCTAGATGGCAGATCCATTTTAAGCATTTAGAAACTTGAGTTTCTAACAAACTGACCATACCACATAGTCCCCTACGGCTCTGAGGAATGATTGATTCTCTACAGCCCCTTACGACTGTGAGGAATATATCTGATAGACCAGAGCTTCGAAAAGGATACATCGAAGTATGTCCCGTGGGGTCCAATAAAGTCATTGGATGGCAGATATGAGTTCTTCTTTATTTTTTCGCGTCCGCTCTTTTGGTGCATTTTGCCCATACGAACATTCAAACATCAATCTGTATAGATGAATATAACATTTTTTGTTGGGAGAAAAAGTAACTTACCTGAGTAACACCTTGACTAGATACTGCAGAGCGGCCGTCTTGGTCAGCGGCAGATAGTGCAGGTGTTTCTGGCTTCCGCCCATGATCAAGCTGCTGCTGAGACAACCCACATTATTACTCGGCAGCAGAGGCAGCGCCAGCAGGATTGGCTCTCTTATTTTAACGTGAAAAATTTTTATATATGGCTATGGTCCTTTTTATTACAATCCTTCATGTGGAGTACCTCAGGAATCGTATCTCGGACCACTTCTATGTTGAGTATTAAGTTCTTTCAAAAGTCCATCCGTTTTAATGTCCTGTGTTTTTGTAGCTTTATATCTCAATAAATATTTATTCTTCTGTCTCGTGGAGTATACTGACTGATAAAGAATTTTCAATGAAACACTGCAGAAACAGCACAAAAAATTAACCATTTGGCAATGATATTGTTAACTATGGAACGACCTAATAATATAAGTATATCTTTTTTTACTCCCCTCATTTTTTGTTCTTCATTTCTCGTATTGTAACTTCGCAGTTATAAGTACCTATATTTTATTTTAACATATTTAGTTTTACTCTTGCCTGGTGGTCGAGAAGGACTACATCAGGCTTATTAGCTTGTATGAGCCTACGGGTGGGAAACGAATAGTTCCAATAAATTCGGCACTTCTCGTTCCCCACAATGGTTTCAATATCCCCCGGAGCGTAGGGCAACACCGGTGTCTCGTCAATACCGTAAGAATGCCGTAGATGGTAATGTAGCACTCCAAGGGCAACGTTATGTCGATGGATATAGGCCGAGACCGCATATGCTGGACATGTTGTACCTTGTGTCAGGAACCTCTATACCCATCACGCGACTGGGGTAGACTAAGGTGTTAAAGATACCATCCTGGCAAGCCATGATGAACCCCTCAGTTTCCGACTTCAGCCCACTCGACCTGGGAAAAGCAGAAGTCAGGCGCTTTGATAAGCCAATGTCTCCAATGTTATTGAAGAAGATCCCATGAATTGGCTTATCTTTGTGTTTCCGCAGAAATAAGGTGATCTCTGCGGCTTTTATCTGAGATTTTTGCTGAACGGGATCCAACTCGGTGATTGAGTAGTGGTCACCTCGTTCAGTGTCGCAAACTATACCGAGTTCATCAGCTGCTCGGGCAGCTCATGGTCATGGACCATGCAGAGAAGGGGATCCGAACTCATGACGACTTTACAGGCTGTATCCAGTACCATTCTGTCATGTAGACAGTCCAAACTCAAAAATCCACGGCCTTCCTGTTGTCGGGGGAAGTACAACCGTGGAACGGACGATTTGGGATAGAAACTCCTATAGAGATGCATCGTTTTTCGAGTCTTTAAGTCGAGTTGATACAGCTCCTGCCGAGTCCACTTCACTACTCCAAATGAGTAGAGTAAGAACGGCGAGCATATTTGTTGCAGCAACTTTGTTCCTCTCCGACAGTGACCAGATCTGTCGAACCACAAGGCCGGGATTCCGTCTTTCCGATTCGGAAAGCCATTGGTCGACGCTGTACACGGCGGCCAGATGTCAGCCTCTTCTGTTAGAACACTATGAACCTCCGCATCCAAACAAGCCAGTTCTTGTGGCTTCAGGGGCCTAATTCTGGATACGTAATTCCTAAGATTTTGGCTGAAAAGGCTACATGCTCCGGATGTGTGTCACACCACAGAAGTAGATGGGATAAGAGACTTCTGGAACGTATTCCCTAGGGGACGTAATTACGGTAGTGAGTGGGAAAGAGAGGTGTGCGACGTGATCGACGCATAGAAGGATGGAATGAGCATCGAGTAGATTCATTTGATAGATAAGGGTGCGGTGGAATTACAAAAATAACGGTAGAATATTAATAATGAACGAAAAATCGGATTGAAGAAAAAAACATGGCCACGGGCGTTAAAGAAAAAAAACATGGCTGCCAACGTAATAGAAAAAAACAAGGCTGTCATACAGGGTGTCCCATCGTTTAAGAAAAAAACATATACGGGGTGTCTCAAATACGTCAGCGTGGAAAATAATGATATAATAATAATAATGAACGAAAAATCGGGGTTAAATGACGTATACATTGTCGTCATGTTTTTTTTTCTTGAATCCGATTTTTCGTTCATTATTATTATTATATCATTATTTTCCTCGCTGACGTTTAACGTCCGTGGCCATGTTTTTTTCTTTAATCCGATTTTTCGTTCATTATTAATATTATACCGTTATTTTTGTAATTCCACCGCGCCCTTATCTAGCAAATGAATCTACTCGATGCTTATTCCATCCTTCTATGCGTCGATCACGTCGCACACCTCTCTTTCCTACTCACTACCGTAATTACGTCCCCTAGGGAATACGTTCCAGAAGCTCTTGCTCATTATTGAATAAATACTTTTGAACATTTTCAACTATCAGACTTTTGTGAAAAACGTCTGCATTTTTTTTCCAATCTTACCGTCAAACAGGGAACCTGACTCCCATCAACATCGCTCTTCCGCTTCTTAGTTTTTGGTTCAGCCACCAGACTGGGCAGATTCGGGTCCGAGAAAGCTTCCACCAACAGATACGTCGTAGGGATCTGGCCGGGGCTTGACTCGGGCGTCAGGCTGGCGTTGTACTCGAACAAGCAATAGACAAAGTAAATCGACAAGCAGAACAACAACTGCTTATCTTCCAGCGGATAAGACTTCGTCTTGCTCTGGCAGAAGCTGATGATCTTCTGCCAGTAGGCCTCTTTGGACCAGTTGCTGGTGAAGTTGATGAGGTACGGCTCCCAGTTGAGCTGGTTGCCGATGAATTCGAATACGGTGAAGAGTTTCCCCCACGGGTCTTCGATTTTGGTCTCGGTGTCCTGGATAACGCTGGTGCTCAACCCCAGGTAGCACAGATAGAACTCGATGGCCTTGTGTAGAAGCTTGTATAGCAGTTTTGACTGGAAAAGAATCATCATTATTACTAAATATTCAAGTGATATTTCACAAGAATACTTATACATTACTATTGATACTTACATTTGGCTTTTTCGTTGCCCAGAAGCGGGAGCAAGTCGCACACCAACAGTTTTCTGTACGGGTTGACCGGAAAGTGACCGTCTACACTGTGTTTTTCTGCGCTGATGAGCGTTTCCACTAGCCGGGGCCCGTTGCTTGAGATGGCTGTGGGGAACCGCTGTAGTAGCAGAAGCAGTAGCCGACAGTGCTCCATGGTGTCTTCGCAGTGCTCGGCTGTGAACAGCAACAGCTTGTGTTGCACGTCAGAGGATATATGCCGAAACATCTCGCATAGAAATTGCGTTTCGGCATCGTTGGTGTCTGATTCTGCCCTCAGGGCCACGGTCACCTGTTAGTGTGTCAATCATTAGTTTATTTACAGGAGAAGCATAGTTAATAATCATTATAATGAAAAGTTGTCTGAATTACAAGAGATTAACTTCCACTAATTGCTACTCCTCCAGAATTATATAAAAAACGTAGAAAACTTTATAAGAAAGAGAGTAATTAACATACAATGAAGCTTCTTATCGAAGGTGAGTAGATCATGTCCAAAAGTTTATTTTATATACAGAGTGGAATAAAAAACCCATCCGAGCAGATATTTTCTTCTTGTGACAAAATTGTACTTTAATGCAAGAAATAAGTTTGAAGTTATCCAATGAGACGTTCATTCCCTTGAAAGTAGTTGTTTCAAATGTGTTCTTTTTACAATTTTTGTCCAGAAAAACTCCTTTGCTTGATCTACACCTTTGTAAAGATTTATTTTTAATTGAATTTGTTTCGTCAGTTCTCCAATTCTGTAACTTCAATATCACCTTTTCCACCTCCTTCCAGAGATCGGGGTGTTGTTGAAATTTGGTGATGAGCTCGCTGAAGCACTTGGCCGCCTCTTTGACGTGCCCTGCGTCCTTCTCTATGTGGTATGCTTCGAACTGTACCCCAAAGTTGTTGGGGTAGAGGGTTTTCGCTGTGAGCATCCATGCCTTCGCAGCCACGGGGTTGGACGAGAAGGCGGCCTTTGCTCGTTGAATGACATACTCTTCGTCTGATATTTCCAAGTCGATTTCCATTGCTTCGATATATTTCAATTTGTTTGTTTACATTCTGTGGTTTCCGTTTACATGAAGGTTAATTTGAAGTTGTATGAACTTCTTTTTTTTTTATTCCTCTGTTGTTTGTGGCATCAGCTGACAGGGTGGCCTGCCTTTACTTTTTTTTTATAAAGTTTCGTTCATGCTTGTACGAATGTTTGTGGGATATTTAATAAATAACGAGAGAAATGATAGTTATAGCTTGCCTTTTGACAGCACTTGGTCCAGCAATAGGGTTACAGTTGTACCAGGCCCAGGCTCTAGAGACTCCTATGTAATATCTCGAATGAACTAGGTCTAGAAAACGTTATCACAAAAAAGATATATTTTCGTCAATATATGGATCTTTTTGAATTTTTGAACAATTTGCAATGGAGTTTTCAGTATATTTGATATGATAATGACTTTTCATTTAGGACTTGTACATTTCAATTTGTTCTATCTACTTTTCATCATGTGCTGAAGAGATTTCTTTCAGTTACAGACTTGAAGAAAAATAAATCCGATGCAATTTCTTCGGAACCTGAACACTACATTTCTTGGAAATACTGGAATGTTGCGCTACAAGCTCAATCTGTAATAAATTGTGATTGTAGTTATTTCTATGTATGGAAATTCACCTCAAGGTTTCACTTTCCGATTTAATATTTAAATTGTGTCACTATCAGTTATGTATCAGCTGACAAAATGAATTGAATAAATGAACGCTGAAGCGCGCGACAAACGAAGCTCTGTGAAAGTGACTTTATTTCGAATTTCTGTCAAGTATCAAGTGTCATTTTTCATATTTGGCGGGCGACTGATATAATGCACAATTTCAATAACAAATTAAAGTTCAAATTTCTAGAATCTATAAATCAGAACCATACGTAGAGCAACTGAACATGCAAAATGCCTCCAATCAAAGTCGATTATGTAATGAGCTTCAGCAGTGAAGATCCGGTACGATAACCCAGCATCTAGCTGGGCCAATTGTAATAACATGTTGTAGTAACAATAATAAAGTCTTTGATTCGCAGATTTTGAACATACAAATTAAAAAAAGGAAGGCGTAAGACTGACAAAACAGCGAGGTAGAGATGAAACAACCAAAGTAATTTCTCTGTTTTTTATTTTCTTCAGGTCCACGTAGCGAGTAACGTCTTAAAGAATGACTCAAAAAAGTGGAAATGCCGAACCGCCGGAGAAAAAATGGCCGTCATAGTGCTCCAGCTGGAAAAAGCCACGGAAATCTCTGGAATCGATATAGGGAACGAGCACTCCGCCTTCGTTGAAGTTTTGGTGTCTCGATCCGGAGGAGGGGACGACTTTAAAGGCCTTCTCATGGCTTCTGCCTTCATGACCCCCGCGGAGGCCAAACAGAGCCAGAACGTCAATCAGGTACGGATGTTCACGAAAGAACACCTGTTGAAGCCGCAGTGCGACGAGAAGTGGGACAGAGTCAAAGTGGTGTGCACACAGCCTTTCAACAGGTATGTGCAGTACGGTCTGTCGTTTATTATTCTTCACACAAAGGAGGAGAAGCCATCAGGCACTTTGCAGGGTAATATCGGGAAGTTCGCTCTCAGGCCGGCTTCTCCTGATATTTTCACGGCCGGGAGCTTGTTTGCCAAGGTGAAGGAGCAAAAGAAGGAGGAGAAATTATCAGGTAGGAGTTGAACCCTCAAAGTTGCTTTCTCAGTCATCAAAATAAACACAAAAGCTCTCAAATAATCAATATTCAAAATATTTATTGAAGTATAATAAAGACACAATTCAATTAATTTGATGTAAATGAGATGTCTCTGCTATGTAACTATATGTATTAATTATTTTTAAATATAGGCATCATTTTATTGTGTTGAATACGTTAAATTGCACAGTATTTAGAAAAAAACTTGATTGTACTGCTATAATGAAAAATGTGGTACAAGTACTGACATATGTATCCTGTTATTGAAAAAATTTGAATATTCAATGGTGAAGAAAATTAACTTTTTGTAACCTAACCTAACTTAACCTTTTTTCAGACTAATCAACATGTAACCTAATCCACATGTAGCCTTACCTAACCTACCGTAACATAAACTAACCTCTTAAACTAATCAACATGCAACCTAGTCTAAACTTTTTTTAAACTAATCAATATGTAACCTAACCTAACCTAACCTACACTAATGTAACCCAACCTTTTTTAAACTAATCAACATGAAACATAATCTAACCTAACCTATCCTAACCTATTTTGAAACTCATCAACATGTAACCTAATCTAACTTATCCTAACCTAATGTACATGTAACCTAACCTAACATAATATAATTTTTAAAACTAATCAACATGTAGGTAATATAACATAACTTAATCTAACCTAGTCTTTTTAAAACTAATCAGTATGTAACCTAATCTAACTAAATACTAAATTTATATCATATTTTGTGATGAGTCCAATAAGTTATACATTCTGTACTTATTTCTGTAATAACTTCAGTGACGAATCAAGTTCTATTCTATTCTATTCTTATCCTAACCTTACTTTTTTAACTGATCAACATGTAAAAAATAAACTAATAAATAGAGTTTATTCTATGATTTTCACTATTAGGGTTTTACATAAACCGCGACACGTGTTTCGCTATACAATAGCTTCTTCAAGCATGTAACATGTAACCTAATCTACATGTAACCTAATCAAAATGTAACCTAACCTATCCTAACATAACCTAACTTTTTCTAAACAAATCAACATATAACCTACCCTAATATACCCCAACCTTTTTTAAACTAATCAACATGAAACCTAATCTAACCTAACCTACCCTAATATAACCTAACCTAAACTTTTTTGAAAGTAATCAACATGTAACCTAATCTAACTTACCCTAACCTCACCTAATCAATGTATAACCTAACCTACCATAACATAACTTTTTTAAAACTAATCAACATGTAATCTTACATAACTTAAACCTTTTTTGGAACAGGTAACCTAATCTAACTCACCCTAACCTAACTTTTTTAACTAATCAACATGTAACCCAACAAACCATAACATTTTCTAAACAAATCAATATGTAACCTTTTTTAAAACTAATCAACGTGTAACCTAATATAACCTATTGGGTCGTTTCAAATGTTTTGTCCGTTCATATAAGTCCACTTTAAACTGTAATATCTCAATGAATACTTATTAAATTCTATCGAAATTAGCTCCATTTGATTCAGTACACTTTTGAAAATGTAACACAAGTCGGGTAATTTCGTCAGATTGGGTAACGTTCTCCCAGTGAGACAGTTAAAGAATATATGATGAACTGATGATTTGTGGGTAGTCCCACAAGTATATGTTGAAAGAATTCGTTATCAATTTCTAGACTCCTTTCTTCAAATTCATTTTGAGTAGGGTTCTAACTAATTCTTTTGATGGTTTCTACATAGCTTTGGCATCATTTATTTCTCATCAGTTTGTTGACAACGATACTGTCTGCTTTCTAATATGGTTTTTCCAGTCGTTTCATCGTTTCAGTTGAATTTGTGGTATCTTAGGTGCTGCTGCTATACGGGAGGCTGCCTTGGCCACTTCCTTGGCAAGGTTTGGTTCCCCCAAGTGTAAACCCAAACTGAAGACTGGTGACTCCGCTCCTACACAGAACCGCACGAAGGTTCAGCAGTCCGAGGAAGGTGAAGAACAGCCTCGAAAGGACAGGAATCGGACGGGACTCTTTTATAGCGAAGACGATGATAAACCAAACGAAAAAATTGACCGGATCATTAAGAAGAAGAAGGAGGAGGACGAGGCGAAGAAAAACAAAGACGAAGGCAGGAAACAGAGTGCGGAGCTCAACATTTGGGGGCTTCCCAAAGTTAAGACGAAAGATGATGAAAGGGAGGAGGATGTGAGGCGAGATAAGGACGGTGAGAAAGCTAAGAAGAAGGTGAAAGACGCAACACCAGCCAAAGGTTAGAGATACTTTTTTGTGCCTTTTTGTGTAATTTTTGAAGTCTGTAGAGTTAGTTATTGTGAGAGAGTCAAAAAATTGACTGTATTATTCTCTTTTATTCAACCGTTGAAAAAACATTACAGAAACCTTAAAAATTTTGAAATTGACCAGACTATTTTTTTTTAGTTCAGACAATCCATCAGATGAAACGAGAAAATAAAGGTTACTTTTCTATTTCTAACAATTTTATATGTTAATGTAACTTGGGAGTAGAAAAAAGTTTGAAAATTGCTTCCACTTTCCACAATGGGGAATGTTCCTCAATTTGGGTTATTACAGCAAATGCAAGTTTGAACAAAATTTTAGTTTAAAAAAGGAAAATTATCTTAATAAATCAACAATTGAGGCAAAATAAACAACAGTTGTTTTGTTATTTATTTATATAGACAAAGATAGGTTAGGTGCACAAAATGTCATATGTCACAGAATGTCTCTGGACTCGGAACATAAGTAAACAGAACAGCACGCCTCTGAAATATGTCATCTTTGTTTGTCTCATTCAGGTAACAGATTCATTGTCCTTTATTAGCTATAACCGATGTTGCCAAATGTTGAATGCATTATTTCATTCCTCTTTTTTAAGTATTTAAATACTTCTTTAATTTATTATTATAACAATGAAACTTAGTCCAATTCTAAACAATCTCATTGCATATCAAAGGTAGCAAACAGAAGGAAGTTAGTAACCATGATAGTCCCAGCACTTCCAAACAAAACGAATCAAAGCGAGACCTGAAGAGAAAGCTGCAAGAGGACACGACAAAAGAAGACACTAAAAAGAAGAAAATGAACATTCCCGTCACGAAGCCATATGAAAGATTGTTGGAAGGTATCACTATTGTCGTTAGCGGAATTCAGAATCCCGACAGAGCGATGCTTCGAACGACAGCCTTGTCAATGGGGGCCAAGTACAAGCCGGATTGGGATTCGAGTTGTACCCATTTAATGTAGGTATCAGTAAATTTATTTGTTTGACTGTATATTCATTCCTAGGGTACACGTTTTTTCAAGAGAACAAGCTGGTAGTTCAAGAATAGTCAGGCCTATTACATTAAGTCAGTTGAAATTCTGAAAATTTTCAACTATTGAGCAGAAGGTGCTGTTGGATAGTTTTCTTTTGATAACAGGCTATTACTGCACGAGAATAATAAGAAGAGGTGATTTCAGCATTCACTTCTTCTTCTTATTTTTTAGTTTATGGCCTCAGCTGCACGGAACAATTGGAATATTTGATTTTCTTAATTTCTTCAGCCTGACTTGAAAAGTTGTTGCGTCTTTTATGGCTTGAAAGTGAATAGTTGGAATAAATTAACTCCTAATATTTCAAGATGAGATTATTTTATGGATGTGATGAGTTTTCTAATTAACTGAGATTGTAAGAATATCACATTAGCTGACTTACTTTCGAATCACTTGCAATTCTGTGATTATTTAGAGATAATGCTTTCTAACTCCCGTATTCCTCTCGTCAGCTTTATGTGGGATTCAAATAAAAATCTGCTTTTAGTTGTGCCTTTGCAAACACTCCAAAATTCAACCAGGTGAAAGGCAAAGGGAAGATAGTGAGGCAGACATGGTTGGAAGAGTGCCACAAACAAAGAAAGAGGTTGCCGTGGAGAAGATACGCTCTAGATAAAAGTGATAAGGATAAAGACGAGAGCGAAGATGAGATATGCGAAGCAGTAGAGACCGTTGAGATGGACGTACTGAGCGATTCACCAGTAGAAACCGATCTGGATTACAACGACCAGTGAGTGTCCTAAGAACTGTTATCATCTCGAATGGTGTGAATTTTGTACTTTTTTCATTCATATTCAGTAGAGACGAGGGGTCTGATACCGAAGAAAGGATAGCAAAAATTTTGGCAGCACAATCCGCTACCGAGAAAAAAACTAGCCCTAGCGCGAAAGCAAACGGCGATATTTATTGCGTGGATACGGACGAAGAAGAATTTCCAGAAAAATCCAAGGTGCCGGAAGTTGAGGAACTGGCAGGCTTTTTCGATGGCAAAGTATTTTACGTGGATCAGTCTTTTGACGACGAAACGTATGCCAAGCTGAGAAAATACATCGTAGCCTATAGAGGGTGAGTAAAAATAGTATGATAACAATTTTGGTGGAGTTGTGTTGAAATATTTTTTTAGCACTGTCCTGATGATTCTACAACAAACTTGTCTAATTTTTCTGAGAGATGAGGCCAAAAAATATTCGTTCATTTGTTTCAGCAAACGTACTGTTGTTTGTGTTTGGGTTTTTCCATCTAAAATTTTGAAAAACATCATAATGAAACATAGTTGTTTGACATGCTGCTGCTGCTGAATGGAGCTGCGAGTTTTGACTGTTTTGAATTGAGATTTTCGCAATACAAATCACCTTAGTTTGCTAGTGCCCTCTAGACTTAAATACCTGAACTATATTGTCAGTTACTTGTTCTCGTAAAGAAATCGTCAATATGTGCAGAATTAGGAGCACTCATTCCCTCAATAAAGCGCATCTCCACAAAATTAAGATAGTTGATGACGACCGCTGCGAATGTGGGGAAATACAGACGCTCCCACATATATTCTTTGCCTGCCCTTATAATTCTCATAATATACAAATATTTTTATGCCTCTCTCAGCATCCCTCCTTCAACAATTCAGCCTCTTACCTTCCACGATATCTTTTTCAAACATATATCACCATCTAACATACAGACCATATCCAAATTCCTGATTTCATCCAATATAAAGCTGTAGTGATCAAGACAGATCTAATACTTTTGCGCATGCAGTGCTTCGCCAATCATGACCTGATCGTAGTGTTCATACACGTAACCGTAGTGCTCCACCTCACATTAGTGCTTACACTCTAGTGTAGTCGGACATTGCTTGTTAACTGACTTCAAATTACAGTCGAACTCTGTTTTAGCGCAAACCCAGGTGGAGTTTGGGTCCAACTCAGATCCACTTCAGTGTGGGCTCCACCTGTAGTAGCAACATGATCCTGGAACTCCTGGCTGGTTAGCCCTGGTAGCCGAATCCATTGATGGAAAAAGAAGAAGAAGAATAAGTTATATATCGGAAAAGGTGTCCATGCACTGCACAACCTCTCCGATATTTAGAAATAGTAATGGAAGAGAAAATAATACTCAGAATTATTGGGCAAATCAGCATATGTTTGTATTTGTGTTATACCTTCAACGAAGAAGATTTCACTTCAAGGAAATAAAATACTGTGGATGTTTTAAAAATTATCATATCATATGACATAGTAGATAACTTTATTGAGAAACAGTAGGATATTGAACCAATCATATTCCAGTTACCAAAAGTAAGAAGTTGAAAAACCCGGAAAATTAAAATTATTTCATGATAAAAAAATTGAAAAGGTTTTTTCATTTCATTGAAAGCACTTTATATCAATAAGTTCCGAAAATCTAAGCTAATATTAGTGGCTGGGTACATGTCTTGGAACGCAACGTTCGTTCGTAGTTCAAATACGTTTTACGTTTGGTTATCGTTTGAAAATAAATTCACCTTCTCATCATTTTGTCATACTTATGATCAACTGAAATATTATTATTGTTAGTTGGTGTCACTGATGATCTTTCACCAAAAAAACATTTTCTCCTCACTGAATCACCTGCAGCTGAAAAGAGAACACGTGAAAAAATATCCTTGGAAACGTTATCTGAACAACCCCAAACTTTTGTTACTGACAAATATCGCTCCGGAAATGTCAAAGTCACTCGCTTTAATATTTCTCCTGCTGATCCTGCCTTCACTGGCCAAGAACGCTACAAACGCCTCGAACCACTCCGTCACCACCAACGCCACATCCCCCTTTCCTCAGAAAAAAGAAGTCACCCGCTCGGCGGAGGACGACAACCTGGACCACGTGGTCTACTACGACGACATCATCGCCATCAACGAACGCTCGAAGAAGGACGCCAAGATCTGGGACCACTGGGGCAAGTGGTCGTCTTGCAGCGTGTCTTGCGGCGTGGGAAAGATGACCCGGTGGAGACATTGTGTGTCCAAGGGGTGCGCTACCGGCGAGAAGGAGGCGCAGATCAAGACTTGTACTTTGTCTCCGTGCTGAGGACAGACGCTGAGGTTGGGAATGTGTACCCGGGAGTGAAATTATTGTTTTGTCCGGTGCTCTTAATATTGTGAAATTCTTATTTCATTTCATTATATAAAATTGAAGTAGAATTGGGTTTTGGAATTCTCCGAATTGAAATAAAAGAAAACGCGCTTTTTGTTTAAAATTGCCCAACTGATACAAATTTGCCATTGTTTTGATTGACTTGTGACACGGTGCTTTGTCTTGATGAATATTTTTTTTTCTTTGCCAGATGCAGTCGTTTCTTTGCATTTTTGGCCTTCAAACGCTTCAATAACGCTATAAATTATTCACTGTTTCCCTTCTCAAGATAGTCGATGAGTCGAACACTTTAAAGAATCATCAAGACGTTCCTGTCTTGAGACGTTCGTGTCCTGTCTGTAAATTTTTAGAAATAATGGCTGGTTCACAGTTTTTTCACTTCATGTAACTGTTACAGTTTTCAGAGATTCACAATCAAGAACGTGTTTATGGACCATGGACAATTATATTTAGTGTATTCTGTGCTGTTTTATGTTCAAATCATAGAACTTAATTTCTTGGAAAATATAAAGTTTGATTTGAGAATTTCGGGAACCGTGAAAAAACTTCTCGAAGTGGAAGAATCGAGAGATATCCATCATTAGTAGAAGCTCTGAAGTGGACTTTTGTAGAACACCACTATCATAAATCAGATGGTTGTGAGTAAAAACGAATTTTTTATCGATAATGACTTTAATGAATACTTATCTCAACTAACAATGACATTATTATTGCTCTAGATAGAAAGCTATACCGCATTGAATCCATTCGTCTTTCTGTTTTGCGTCACAGGATATTTGCACTAAGAAAATCTTCTTATCTCTGCTAGATGTGGTGTATACAGGCACGTCAATGTATTTGTCTTGGTCCAATACATTCTTCTGTTGAAAATGAAAGGAAACAATTAGCCACGTATATTTATATTGAGACATGCCATTTTGATTTTGAAACTTTTCTGCTCACCAGAATTAACAACCATAATCAGGCCAAAAGTGGAGTGAAATGTCTTTTATTTTTGAGAAATCAAAGTAATTTTATTGTTCATTGATTTTGGGTGTTTTAGACAAAGGAAGTGCGAAACTTCAAGAGATTTTTGAAATTGTTTTTTCTCACCTTTTCAACCCAATTGAGGTAACAATTAGGTACAGTGTTGATATTTTCCGAATTCGGAGAACAGTGCTTCATAGCCCCGTTTTCAAAAATACCCCCTTCAACGAGCAAATCCGTTAAAATTACCGAATCGTGTTTAGATCTCCAATTGGTTTGAAGCAATAGTTCATCCATAGGCACTTTTGCTGACCTAAAAATGGGACATATCAACAGAAAATGAGAGGTAATAGTGAAATAATAAGCTACATAAGTCTAACATAATGCTGTTTTACAGATACCTGATTGGTCGTCGATAAAGTTTTGCTAACTTGTTCACCTGGAGGAGGAGATGGAACTTATGTCAGAGGAGCAAGTCTAGTTCTGGCGAAGATGAAACACGACCTCGCAATCGATCGGAGCTGTTCACGGGACAGGTGAGTCTTTCTATCAGGGAAAGAATACAGTTATGGTCCTGCTGGATATTCAGAAACCCTTTGACAAGGTACGTACGTAAAGGTTTGTCGCTTAAATGTGGTCGGCAGACGTGCCTTTATACGTGTTAGGATTCTTGAATCCTACCTGAGCAACCGAACTTTTCGTGTGAGAGTGGACCAAACTATCCTGCTTATCACCACACCTGTACTCATTGTACACGCACAACTTTCCCATGTTCTCGCGAAGGAATGTGGGTATATATGCGGACGATACCGCAGTTTACGCACACTTGTTCTCGAGCGAAGTGGCTAAGCAGCAACTGCAGACCCACCTCAACAGGATATTCGTGCCGTACTTTGACAGGAACAAAATTGAGATGGAGTCATCGAAAACTGAGCTCGTCAACTTCACGAAGAAATTTACCAACGTAAAGATCTTCAGGAAGTTACGCATCAAGGGCAAAAGCGTTGATGAGCAGAGAAGCGCGCGGTATCTGGGGGTCATCCTGGATAGACGCCTGATTTTCAGGAACACTTGAGCCTGGCAGTTCAATGAGCGGCAGCGGCGGTAAAACGCACGTATCCGCTCATGGCACGGAACCCTAAGCTCAGTGATGACGACAAGTTGCTCATTTACAAACAAGTAATAAGACCGCTGTATTGTAGTCCGTCTCATATTCTGCAGTCTCAAGAGAACTCCTTTAAAGATACTTGAGACGATGTAGAATTTAGTGCTCCGTAGTTGCACGAAAAGTGACAGATACATTTCACTGGTTGATCTGTTAGATCAGGCTTAAGTTGAGATGACCAATGAACATATCAGGAGGCTGTTTCAGAAATTCTTCAAGTTCTTCCTGCCGAAAAGCCCACAGACGAGACGTCACGGCGCTTTGAAGCTATCATAATCAGCCCCGTGAACACGTGTTGATCTATGATTCATTGGATATCTTCCATAAGTGGCGCGAATGTCATCGCGATTAGTTCATGGAAGAATTGGATAAGATAATTCATGCCATAGCTGGTTTTTTCATGAACTTTTTCCATAAGGTTCCGGACAACTTAGCCACCCGCCAACACCAGCGGGGGCGCCTCCCTCTGTCTAGTCGTGGGTCTGTGGTAGCGCGTCTTTTGTTGTCTTCTTAGGCTAAACAGTACAGTCCTCCTCCAGCTATCCCTCCTTGTATACATATCCTCCTTCCTTTCACACCCCTAACTCCCACATACGGGAGAGCGATATGTACATATATTTTCACTAGTTTTCTACCCAGAATAGGAAAATAAAGATTTTGATTTTGTTCCACAGTTGATGATACCTTTTTTCTACGGTTGGGCTTGCTTAGTTCCTCACATCAAACATTCATAATTTCCCTGTACGTTTTCAATATCTCAGACTGAAATAAAGGTTACTTACCGAGAAAAATCCTGCTTATGAGAGGCCAAAAAAGCATCAGGGTGGAACAGAGTAGATAGACTAAAGGGCTTCTGGAGCAGTTCTTTGACTTTTTCGTTCTTCCATTTAGATAAACCGATAATTT